AAAAAAAAGAATCATGAACAAACGAGCACACAGTCCACATTTATCTTCGATTCACCATCAAAATGCAGATGCGTTATCACCCCTGAGGACTCATATGGAATGCCTTGTTTCTAGTAAAAAGGCTCCCTGGTTCTCTACACTCACCATATGAAGCACAGTAGCTATTTTACGCTGGTAGTCAGTGAGAGCGTCACATCCGCATACACCGCAGCGTGGCTCTACCACTTTTAAAATAGACTACTCTCAAGGACCTCTTAGCTAAACCAACCTTAGTTTTACCAATATGACTTTCTGCGCAAATTTGCGGTGCTGTTTTAACTGACAAGTAAATAAAAGTTTAAACTTATACTATATATTAAAAAGGCATAGTGTTTATGCGCATTGACCTCAATAGTGTCTCGAAATTGATAGGTCTTAAAATAAACATTAACAAGATACGAGTGGTGAAATTAAAAATGTTGTACTACCAACTTCAATATAAATAAAATGAGAACATTTTCATTGTATTTGAAGTCAATTAAACACGCATTATTAAGGATAACTCAAAAACTACTGGTCAGTTCCTGATCAAGTTTATATGGGACCACATGAAAAGCACGAGCTTTCAAACAAAATAAGAATCATTAAAATTTGGTTCGCCCAGGAAAAAAATTTCTTTGGTAACACCATTGACATATATTACTAGCGGGTAACACACATAAAAAAACATACAGTCGAATTGAATACCTCTTCCTTTTTGAAGTCGGTTAAAAAGTCATTTATAATGTCCATGTTAAGGCAATTTTGTTGTTAAAAATTGTTCGGAGCAATAAAAATAAGATAACAGGGTATGTTTATCTTGAACATGTCATATCTTGTCCGACTAGGTAAGTCCAACTTCAACCGAGAGGTCAATCGAAGCATCCAAATTAGCTGGGCAGCGTTCGGAAAATTACGACACATCTTCTCGTCAGGTATAGCTCAAAACTTGAAAATTATGCAAGCAGTGCGTGCTACTGATAGCATATGGATCTGAGATGAACTAGCAGAAGCAGATGAAGCTCAAGGTCGCTCAGCGAGCTACTGAGAGGGCTATGCTCAAAGTTTTTCTGCATGATAGAGTTAGGAATGAAGATATCCCCAGTAGAACTAGAGTAACCGACATAGCTTCAACTTCAACTTCAGTCTAATAACGGCTTAGTAGACTGAAGTGGCAATAAGCCGGCCATAGAGCTCGAAAAACAGACAACCGATGGGGAGAAAGGTTATCGAGTGACCTCGTGCGGAACAAGTTTTTGTATGGCCTACAGATAATTGTTTCGGGTCTGGATGATTGTCCTTATTCAATTTATGTGTGTAAAACGCCTCTACGATAGAGGAGAGAATCCTAGTGCGGGAGTAACAATTTAATTTAAAAAAAAACATCACCGTAGGACTCTGCTCGATATCTTTCGCATAAGTCTAACTAAAAACTCCACTTTTTTGTTCAGCGTAAAATTTATACATATTTGAAAATTATTAAAATTATTTAATTTGCAAGATTACATACTAAGACAGGGTGACTCACTCATTCTAACCTACCTTTAATGCCATGTATAGTCAGCAGTCTGAGGATGAAATGTCGACGCAGTAAAATGCTAGTCAACCTCGTTCGCTGAAAACGAGGAGTCAAATTTCCATGCTGAACATAAATTTATTCATTCATCTTTTTTACTCAGCGAAATTTCTTGCATTAGCTCAATAACCCAGGCAGTTTACTGAGTCGGCTCATTGCGTTTACTCAAAATTGCGCTATGGCGCAACAAATTTTACACACATCTGTCAACTCAGCCATCTGTCAAAATGAAACCGTGTGCCCATTAAGTGAAATAAAGTGTAGATAAGAAAGATTATCTACATATTAGGTACTATGCTATATATACTATAAACCGTGGTAGCTCAGATGATTAGCGCTCGCCGTAAATTTACGCGAACAAAACCGGGTTCGATCCCCGCCGGCACCAATGATATTATTAATTGCAATTTTAAGTGCTGATTTATCACGTGTTCAACGGTGAAGGAAAACATCGTGAGGAAACCGGCATGTATAATAAATAAAAAAATATTTCGTAGACATGTAAATTTCGCCATGTGTCCAGCTGTGGGACGTATATAGGCAGCAACTTAGGTACTACGTATCAACCCTTTTACATTTCACGGAGTTGCAGTTTATAAAAGTAATAAAATAACAATATTTGGTGGTTTAACACCTTTCAAGCTTCCCGGCCCTGCGCTTTGCGCTAACACAAAAGAATTGAGTTATCAAATGGGCGCAGTGAACTGAGTTAGCGCAGCGTAATGTTGCCCATGTAAATTTTTTAAAAGGGGGCAAACTATCTTGCGGCTGACCTGATAGTAAGTTAATATTGCCGCCCATGAGCAACTGCTACATCAAGAGAATACTAGATGCATTGCCTGGATGGAATTTTAAGGTCCCTAAGTCGTATCGTTCAGGAAAATTCGCCTACAGCTTTTCAAAAGTCCATGCTGAACACAGAACTTCCCCATAGACCTAATAGTGGGTATATTTGCTGCGGCTATCACGCTTGGCCAGCGGTTGGCAGTTTTACTATTTTTGGGTTGTTATCAGGAAGGTAACTACTACTCATCCAGTATTTAATTTCCTTCTGTCAGTTTTTTACAAGAACCATTCGATATGCGGTAGCGGACTCCTTCGCAATTCAATTACTACACGATTTTTTTTCATTGTAAATAATTTATATTAATTAAGCTGTATTTCGTTTAGATTAACTTTTAAGTGTAATCTGAATGTGACTCTCTCTCTCTCTCTTTTTCCAAACACAATTGTACATGGTAGAGCCACGTCACATCCTTTTATAATTGCAGCATTAATATGTTTCTACCGGGGAAGGAATACGCTTTTATACTGGTAGGTTTGCAAAATATCAGACGGAGCAGACTTGAATGCATTGTTAGAAACACGAGGACACACAGCTTGACTCAAACACCAACTCTCAGTTTGTGAATAAATGTTGGTTCCGGTAGGGGTTCGACCAATGTAGTCGTCAAGGAATTTGCAATATTTTCTACGCACTGATTCGAAATTGTTGCAAACCAAATTTCAAGTCATTGTAATCCTAACAAAATATTTTTAAGTACTAGCGACTTCGCCTAGATAGGATATATTAAAGGGGGGTTATGTAATTTAGATAATCAAAGATCAAGTAACGAAGTTTATTTTATCAATTTTTCGATGTACGTGAGAGTAATAAGGTCACTTTCTAGTAAGTCAAAAACTACAGCCTTGTTTGCATAGTTGGCTTTGTGATACGATAGCTCTTCATCGGTCAATCAAATAATAAATGATTTAAAGGACGATGTTTTATCGACGCCATTTTGACATTTAATATTATAGTAAATATTTTAGTCGATTTTAATATTCTTTACAATCAGTTAAACCATTACAAAGTTCAATCTAGACAGGCAGACAAACGGAGAAAATTTCAAAAATGATGATAATAGCATTTTAGCTTAATGGAATGAAAACAACCCCATCAGCTCAATATAAGGTCGTTATATCAATATTAGAAAGAAAGAAAGAAAGAAAAAGTTTATTTGGTACATACATTATAACAAAAATAATAAAAATAAAACATTTTTTATATCTTGTCAAAAATATTTAAAAAGGAATAACACAATATGCACCAAAATGGCTTTAAGTTACGAATTGAAGATATAAATACATCAATTCGTAACGCTGATATCACAGACATATACTTCAATTATCATTATATGTGTATAGATTTTATTTGCAACAATGTGAAACGTAAAACATGTAGAAAGAATGAATGAGGAAAGAGTGACAAAACCAATTTATGTTGCAGAAATTAACGGCAGAATCGGAAAGGGATGTCCTAGGCTCTTCAAAAGTTCATCGACCAAATTGGCGATATGTTGAACATGGGCCAAATTAAGAGTAACCTTAATGTTTGCGTAGATATATGGATGTGGAGGAGGCGAAGTGTGTCAGGATCGTGCCAAATGGAAGCCTGTAGTCCCTGCCTACCGCTCTAGGTGACAGGCGTGAGTGTTTTTGTATATATCTATGTAATATAAAACGTATTTCTTCATAGTTGAAGCTCTAGACCACTTCGTAAACGCAAATATAAAAACTATAAAATGGTCGCGTTAGACTCCACAATGTTATGGCTGCTCCACAAATTGGTCGGTTCGACTGGAGAAGGTCCACACAGTCAGCTGAAGGACAGTGATAAGTGAACCACGAAGCAATCCATCTCAGTCCTAAAGGGTGACACTTTTATTTTGATTCTTTACCGAGGACAGATGTTGGTGTCTATGAGCCACAGCATACACTTACCTTCATGTGCACTGTGTGCTAAATTGTAACCCTCACTTCTATAGAAAATAGAGCACCAAATAAAATGCGGTTATCAAAATATAACCGATTTATTTTTAGTTTTTCTTTTTATTCAAAACTTTACACCTGCACTAGGATTTTCTCCTGTATCGTGGAGGCAGTTTACATATATGTACTTGTTTCGTACAAATATTTATTCCATGTGGGATTCGAATCGGAATCTTATCGCCGCAACTCAATACTAAGTCATTGCGGATCCATAGCCATCTAAAAAACTTTTTTTAACCGTGTAATGGCGTCGTAAGAATATCCACTACCCCATATCTTCCCGTGGATGTCGTAAGAGGCGACAGAGGGAGACAGGCAGGAGATGGGCAGCAGCATCTTCCTGATAACAACTAAAAATAAAACAACTGCGGTTGCCAACACACTTGCCAAACGTGGCAGCTATTTCTAATATTCCAATGGTAATTTATGGAGAAAGACTATGTTTTAGCAGCGGACTTGTGAGAAGCTGTAACGGTATCGGTAGCTTCAAAATGTCTTAGATCGATTTTTTTTGTAATCGATTGTTTATTACTTCAAAAAGCAACTAATCTTGATAACAATTCGCTAAGATCTAACTTTTTGTTTGCTTGCTTACCCGTTACCAGCTCTGTTCAATCCATAGCAGTCGTTGATACCGGCGAGAACGCCGACAACGCCAGCAACGACGGCTATACATCCCGCCCAGAGGCCAGCCCCGACTCTAGACAGAGCTGCGCCCTTCACCACGGCTAGAGCACCAGCACCAACCAATAGAGCACCCAGCACCACTTGAGATAGTCCCAAAAACACCACAAGTCTCTTTCCACCAACGTCCTCATCACTCCCCGCCTCAACACTCTTCGAGCTCACACTGCATTCTTTTTTCTTTGGCGCTTTCGTCTCCTTTTGTGGAGTCTTGCAAATTAACTGTTCTGTTGAGTCTTCGGACTTGAGGCTAGAGACGGTCGCTGCATTCGGAAACTCTCCAGCAACTATAGTGACGTTCTCTGATGACGAAGGTTCCAGGTCTTCGGCCATGTCGGCACATCACTTGCGGCTCCGTGTTAGTCCGGACGACCGGACGGTTGTCGATCGCACTGTTTGAGATACTAAGTGTTTATACAACAATATCAATTTAGAAATCAGACTTCGCTAAACGAGCATAGTTTTTGTAGATGTAACGCGACGCGTTCGCTCTCCAGCGATATTCGAGACCAACTGGCGCGTGCTGGACTGTAGGCTCGCGGGCAGGTGAAAGTGGCTAAGGGTGCGTCTCCACGACTCCTCTGCTATACGCTTGGGTTCCAATAATTGCGAGAAGCCGCCGTGAGACGAATGTAGACCTAACGTATTCTAAACAATTAAGTATGCTACTTGAGGAGAAAGTTTGTATGAAAAGACCAAATTGGTCATTGTTAACGTTATTTTTAAAAGTAACCTAGAAGTATTTAAGCACGATAATTATATTTAATTATTCGTAAATATTAATAAATCAAATTTAATATGATATAATCGAATTTAATTAATCTTAAACATTTTAAATTAATAAATAATAAAATTATTTGTATTATTGTTATATTTATTTATAATAAAATTCCTAATAAGAACATTATTATTCTTTAAATAGCGTTAATCTTGAAAATTTCATAATGTATTAAAGTAAAGAAAACACTATATATTCAATAGAATGATGTTTTAAGCCGATTGATAATAATAATAAGGCATTTAAATCGCAATTTTCATACAACAGTCAATATTTTCAATTTTCAGAATATTCATCACGCCAGTTTCCACTAAACGCCATTTCAATATCAACATCAATTTTAAATAAAATAAACAAACAAAAACAAAACAATTTACAGATTTACTTACAATTATAAGCTACGTTTAAGTAAATGTACATTTTTTGGTAATTGTCAAAATGTATGCCAATCAAACATTATTTTATATAACTTATATTAAAATGAGATTGTTATTATTTTTTATTGATAATTTAAACTACAACTTAACATTCTGTATTCATATAAAGGCTTCATATTCTAATAATTTGGTAACGCGATTATAATGTCATAACTCTTATTATCAAACAATAGTTATAAAACTGCTAAATACACGTACTTATCTATTTCCTTATCAATCAATATCACATCTCAAGTTGTTGAGCAAGGTGTCCGCGGTCGCGTCGCAAGCAGGTGAAAGCGGCCGACTCTCGGACCACTCCAACGGCTAGCTATCTCCGGTTAGCCGGCGGAATACCCGGAACACTATCATCACGCTAGCCGCTACAACGGGTCGGCAGTAACACGAAACGTGACATAATGCGGCGTAACTATTTCACAGTACAATTTAACACTGTAATTAACACGATATTATATTTCACGCAAGATACTCTTGTTCCGTGAAAATATTTGTGTCTTCCGTCTTAATCAAGCTGTACTCTTAAGTTTTTTTTTTTGTTTATATGAGGACAGACATTTATTTTGACAAATATTTATTCATTTTATAATACAATGGATTAATTTTTTATTGAATATAGATTACAAGTAGGTAATTCCTTTTGAATGTCATTGTAATTTTTTATTTAAGCACTGGTACGAAAAAACCTCTGTCCTGGTACGCAGTAGTATATAATAAGTCTATGGTCCTGGAAAGAACCAGCAACTAACCCAGTGGGAATTTTTATTAAAATAAATTTTACAATATGAATGGTTACAAAATATTTACAAAATTTATTTTAGAAACAGCTTGGAAGCGACCACCTCATTCCTAGGGGTTCTTATTTATATTATAATAACCCTTTTTATAAAGTTTTTGTTTAATTAAGTATTTAAACTTGGTAATAGAGAGATCTTCTATATTTTTAGAAAGTCCATGTACAAGTAAGTGACGACACCATAACTTGGGCCTTCACTGTTGATCTAAGTCACTTAGCAAACGATAACGGGCTATACTCGGAGTTTTTCTATATGATCAAATCTGTAGCCTCGGTATCCGCAGAAGAACAAGAGTAACTAATATAACCCAGCGAAACAATAGGTTGAAGTGGAAATGGGCCTGAACCTGAAAGAAGCGAAAGTGGTATGTAAGGATCGTGACACTTGGCGATCTGTTCTCTCTGGCTACCCCGTTAGGGATTGTGCGTGAAGATAAGTAAGTAAGTAAGAAGGAAATGGGCCGGCCATGTCATGCAATGAATCAATCCCTTCATTCATTAATAATAAAAAATTTACAAATATTACAACTTCTAATAAATTAATTATCACAACAGTATCAAATAATAAATAAAAATAACAATATTTGACAAAGATAAATATATTCAATGATCAAACACAAATTAAAATACTGAGAATAAATTAACGAATTACTCACAGAACACCAACAACAAAACAGAAGCTCTGTTCTGTTTCGTATGGTGAGAGGAGAGAGCCGTTGACCTGAGCCAGTCTTTAGTGATAACGGGGCATCCCATCTTATTTTTTAGGGGTCACAACGCATCTGCATTTTGATTTTTATTGAAGATAGATGTAGAGGCCTGTGGGCCACAGCATCCACTTACCATCATGTGGATTGCGTTCTTGCTTGTTACACATCTTCATCACTTCTTCATCACACATCATAATCAAAGAACGATCCGTAGCCTTCTTTGTTAGAAGTAGCTTGCAGATCCATGGGCTGCAGTACCCACTTACCATCAGGTAGACTGTACGTTCTATTGTCAATTGTTTCATTAAAAAAATTATAGCATTCAACCTATTTACTGACTCCCAAAATGTGTATAGCTTTTGTATATGTCTGTGTGTATGTATTTTTATATAAGAGGAATAATCCTATACCTTTAAACGAGCAGTTATATATATATATATATATATATATATATATATATATATATATATATTATATATATATATATATATAACTGCTACAATATAATAAGGTAAATTTTGACACTGTGTTAATGATCGTAATAGCTCAAGTGGATATCGGTCCGTCGCGAAATCGTAGTGCTCCGGTTCGCGTCCTGTCTTCAGTCCGACTTTTTTCCTTTATTTTTTCAAGTTCTCTTCTTTTGTGAGAAAATCCATTATTTCTAGCCCTTTTTTTGTATTTTTTTAAAAACACGTAAATTTAGATTAAACTCATTGCACTCATGAATTTTTATTTAAATAACCTGCTCAGTTTTTTCTATTATGTCTTTATTATTATGTTACTAGTTTTATTAAGAGTAAATGACTATTACGGCTCATGAACTACAACGCCAATGAACTACAACAACCAGAGGAAATTGCAGACGCATTGAACACTTTGCTGGGTTTAAAAAAAGTATATAACCACTTTTCTTAAAGGCTCATATGCCGTATCGGTCCAGAATCGTTGGTGATAGGCGATTTGATAAGGAAGTTGTGGGAGAAAGTGATTTTGTTATGGAAAGGTACATAAACCTCTATGTTCATCATTCATCGGCGCCACGACATACCGACTCACGTTGTTGGGAGACACATCGTGTCACCGCGGCCGAGGGAAAGGAGGAAGAGCCCATGTCAATATTTATACAATGCAACTATTGCATGCGAAAACTCACGTCCATCTCGAATTGTGTTAGTCTGGGTTATATTAAGTTAAATGACATGTTACCTAATTTGATATTGATATTAATAATCTAAATTTTATACGAAATTTTAAATAATTTAATTCTAACAATCGTTTTGTAATTGGACTCTATTGACTTTGATAGTGGCTGTATTTTTCAATATTTATAAAACCTAGATTTGACTTAAATGTTATTGATTATTGAAATAGTAACCTTCTTATTTGACTAAATAATTGAAATAAATAATGTACGTAATTAAAATTCAACTTGGTTGTTATAGGTAATATGATATGAGATAATGTTCATACGTACTTACTTAGTCTAATCTTATAAAAGTTTTGGATGGATTTCAATATGTTTGTGAATAAATAAATGTAAACAAAAAACTCAAACGATTATTATAAAAAATTAAATACATTAAATTCATTTAGCTAAGATTTGCGTAAAAAATTAAAATGATGTGTCTTACCTAGTTTGAAGAGCACCTCCCGCCCTCCCTTGATTGCGTGCACAATCCACGTCACCACTAATCCATCACTACACTAGAAAAAACATACCACCGTCGAAAATAGGTATAATATAATAATAATAAATTAATAATAATAATATTTCACCTCTAAACGAACATCAGGAGAAGTACTCGTAGACTCGGCGAGGGTCCGCCATTGCTACAGTCGAATATAATAAATTTTCGTAAATAACTACCGATTCTATTAATTACGTTATAAAAAACTTAAAAATTGGAACTATAACATTCTTATCCTTAATAATAATAAGAAGAGAATCTACCACACCTCATGATTCCGTTGGTGTCGTCAGAGGCGACAGAGAAAATTCAACAGGAGATGAGGAGCAGCATCTTCCTGATCTTTGATGATCACTCAATGATAAAAACTAACAAAATTTGATTCTTAGTTACTTGAATAAATGATTTCTTCTTTCTTTTTACTGGTAACTTGCGTACATTCTGATTATTGATCGATAGTAGACGTAGGTGATGAGCCACAGCAGATATATTACATCAAAGATTAAAAGGAAAGAAGAAATCATTTATTCAAGTAACGAAGACTCAATTTGTTAGTTTTTATCATTGAGTTGTTGTCAGGAAGGTGCTGCTGCTCATCTCCTATTTAATTTTCCTCTGTCGCCTCTTACGACACCAACGGGATGATGAGGTGCGGTAGATCTCTTTTTATAATCAAGGATATATATATATATAAATTTTTAATAGAATAAGGGTGCCAAATGAGCACACAGTCCAACCGATGGTAAGTGGATGCTGTGGCCCATAGACATGTACATTTATATATCTGACTAAGATGGAATGCGTCGCCAGAAAAAAGGGTTCGGTTCTCTACACTCACCATACGAAAAACAAAGCAGTATTAAGCTACTATTTTACGCTTTTTAAACTAGTAAAGTAATTCTCCAATTGGTCTTTTTGTTAATA